TTTTTTTTTTTTTTGTTGTTGTTGGTGGTACAACACGGGAAAGTATTTATTATAACGGTAATACTATGTGACAATGTTACTGTGATATTATCAATTAATAATATCAAAACAAATAAACAAATGAGTTCTATTAAAATTGATAGTTAATATCACATCACATAATATTAACATAAGGAATGGAGGAGTTTCGAACTTGGCACTCGAAGGTGCCACTAGAAGGACTTAACCACTCGGATGGACCCTTGTGTCCTAACAACTTGTCGGCAGAGGGGGTGACACTATCATAAATTTGTTATATTGCAAAGGAAGAACTATTTTTATATTTTTTTTCGTATCTTTTTATTTTGAGGGTTGAATGTTACGCTGTGTTTGGTAAATAATAATGATGCATATAAATGAAATGACCAATATTTAGTAATAATAATTTCAATTTTTAGTATATAATAATGAAAATTCATTTGTGGAATCTCTAATCCCACTTATACAANATTTTTTTTTTTATACATCTGTATTGTAATAGACAAATTATTTTATCCAATTTATCAATTTCTAATACGGGAACCAAACGAGTCCAAATATATATACAATGAACCCAGTAACGATCATCATTGACCCGCATTGGCGTGTATTGAATTATATATTACAAGTTTACATGAGAATTTTGAATATATATATATATATATATATATATATATAAACAATGAATTCAAATGACAATTTATTGATTAATCTTTTTGGGAGAATTTATGTTATTATTATATACAGTATCAGAGCCCATCTGTGCACACCATAATGAATTCAAAAATGTAGGATATGTTTTCAATAAAACCTCTCGTAAATATTTGTTTTGATTTTTCAATCAATTTTTATGACAAAGTTTGCACAATGGGTCAATTGTTGCCCACGACCTGAATCCAAGTTCTCATTGGACAAAAATGGGTGGGCTTTTGAATCGGGGCAGAATGATTCATGCATCAAATTTGCTTACATCATCATAATATATTTATCCACCAACAGCTTGTAAGTTTTTTTTTTTTTTTTGTTGTTGTTGGTGGTACAACACGGGAAAGTATTTATTATAACGGTAATACTATGTGACAATGTTACTGTGATATTATCAATTAATAATATCAAAACAAATAAACAAATGAGTTCTATTAAAATTGATAGTTAATATCACATTACATAATATTAACATAAGGAATGGAGGAGTTTCGAACTTGGCACTCGAAGGTGCCACTAGAAGGACTTAACCACTCGGATGGACCCTTGTGTCCTAACAACTTGTCGGCAGAGGGGGTGACACTATCATAAATTTGTTATATTGCAAAGGAAGAACTATTTTTATATTTTTTTTCGTATCTTTTTATTTTGAGGGTTGAATGTTACGCTGTGTTTGGTAAATAATAATGATGCATATAAATGAAATGACCAATATTTAGTAATAATAATTTCAATTTTTAGTATATAATAATGAAAATTCATTTGTGGAATCTCTAATCCCACTTATACAAGATTTGTCAATTCTTAATATTTTGTGGTATTCATTTCCAATTACCATCATTCGTCGTTGCCATCACCCCATCTCCAACAAGGGTCAAGTCTGGGTCTATAGTCTAGTCTAAGATTGGGGTTTGGGGTCAAGGTTCGAAATCGGGTTAGGTTTCAAGGTCTGGGTCCAAGGGTCTAGTTTGAGACTAGGATTCAAGGTCAAGGTTTTGGAATTGGGTCAAGTTCTAGGGTTTGGTTTTGGGTTTGAGTTTGGGTCCGAGTCTAGATTAGGCTTTTGGTCTAAATTGGGGTGTTGGAATTGGGTTCGACGTTAGGTCTGGGTTTGAGGTTTAGGGTCTAGCGTTAGGTTTAAGTTCAAGTCTGGGATTGGGTCCAAGTTCGAGGTGGGGTTCTGCCCTGAGTTTAGGTTTAGATTGGGGTCTAGGGTCAAAGGTTGAGTCCAAGTCTAGGTTCGAGGCCATGGGTCCAAGATCAGGACAAAGTCTAGGGTCAAATTTAGGTCCAAGGTTCGGGGTCAAGTCTGAGTCCAAAATTAAGAATTTTTCATATATTTGAGTGGATTTTTCAATTCTATTCCAATCCTTCATTCTAGCTATTATCAAGCATTAAAATGATAATAAATATTCCATTTCATTTTTATGTTTATTCCATTTCCATGTAAAAATATTACTACGGACCAAAAAGCAATGTAGTTTTTCGCTGGCTATCTAATGTTAGGAAGAAACTAAGCTTCATGTAACCATTACATGTTACTGTAGATTAAAAATTCACAAATTTATGTAGAATCCACGTTTTATAGGGCAAAAATTACACTTTAATGTCTATTACCGTTGATTTTGATGTTTGATAAATTATTGTCTCCTCTTTCAAAATTCAAACTCTTGATTTCTAACGTCCGGTGAGCATTCACCCACAAAAGTTTTATCACCGAACTACAATTCTCAACTATCTCATCTTAAAAAAAAAAAAAAAAAAATTCTTGATGGATCGTCTATCATTCATTAAAGTGAGATTCATTATATATAAACAAATCTCTCACTCATTAATAGTGAATAATCTTTAAAAAAAATTTAAATATATATATTTGGGGGAATTTGGATCTATAATTCTCTATACTTTTAGCATCTGAAAGCAGTTAAAAGATATGGTGAAAAATTCTTTCATGTGCTTTTCAAATTTTAAAGAGATCTTATCTAAAAGCATCAAGTCTTTATTCTTTATTTCTAAAAAGGTTGCGAAAATATAATATATTGTCCAATTGATCAATCAATGGCATCACTTTTACTAAAGTGTTTGCTTTCTCTATCTAATGGAATATACAATAGAACCTTATCATAATACAATGAGTAGGGCCACTCAATTATTATGACCTTTATCCTCGAGAAATATCGATGCCCAAATTTTCACTCTTTCTAAATTGATCATTTTTTATGATAAAAATAGAATAATAGTCTGCCCAAAAAAAATTGTGAATTTGATGAAATATTAGATCTTTTATACCGGCACTCATCTTTATCACATTTCTTTGTCTTCAAAGAATGATTCATTCGAATAAATATGAGAGTCTAACTATATTGCATTACCAGAATTATAATCTTCTTTTCGTCGAGTCTCCTTTCGCCTTGGTCCACATAGACAAAGAGCAATGCTACTTGAATTTAAAAAATAGACTTGATAATTACAACTATTGATTTCACTATAGGTTTCAACATTTATTGGGATTCACCATCTATTCAATAATTGTGATTATCAAGTATACTTTTTAAATGTATGTAGCATTACTCAACAGATAAACTGTAAGACTTGTGTCAACAATTCATCAGGGAAGAAATAACTCTATAAGCTGGGATCACTAACTAATACTAATATAATATAATAAAAAATACTACTATAACATGGACATGTTCAAAACTTTTTAGTATTTGAAATTCTTTTAGAAGGTTATAACTATGAGGCCATAATGTAAAACACTTATCTTTAAGAGTATAAAGTAAAAAATTTTAAATTTTTGTAGGTGCAAAGTATGATTGCTACTAAATATATATATATATATATATATATATATATATTTTCCATGCTTTAACTCGTTACTTTGCTTTCACATATTTTAGCAAAAGCCATGTGATGCGAGTATTTACTGATTAATGAGACTTCATCAATATTTGAGCAATGCTATAGGGACTGATTTAATTTGTTGTAATCATTGAATTAGTTATGAGTTCTAATATTAAATTGAGCTCATTTTTAATTTAGCAGTTATAATTAATTATGTTATTGGATTGTATCGTCAAATTAGTTTCAAATGGAATTTTTCTCTAAAAGAATTTGGTATCATACCACCATTACAGTTTTTCTAGTTTTTTTAACAAATTTTGGGGATTATTTACAATTTTTATAATTACTTACAATCGATCCTAAAATATTAGGATCGAAGGCAAAGTTATCACAAAATTATTAACTTAACTCAAAAAAGTTGTAACTCAAACCTTAAGTTATTACATGATACCAAAAAGTTATAATTTTTTTGGTTAATAGTACTTTTAATCTCTAAAATATGTTTGTTTTGTCAGTTTAATCTTCATTATATTAATTTTTCTAATTTGATACCAAAATTTTGATTTGTGTCACTTTAGCCCCTAATCAGGCCATTTGTTAGGTTTTTTTAACGAAAGTGACTATGTCTTACTCTTTCAAATGATATCATGTTATCAATACTTTATCATTCCATTAAAAACTTAACCACCCAACTACATAGGAAACATTTAAATAAGAATTGAATATTTTAGGGACAATATTAATAAAATTAATACTTTAGGGATTAAACNATATATATATATATATATATATATATATATTTTCCATGCTTTAACTCGTTACTTTGCTTTCACATATTTTAGCAAAAGCCATGTGATGCGAGTATTTACTGATTAATGAGACTTCATCAATATTTGAGCAATGCTATAGGGACTGATTTAATTTGTTGTAATCATTGAATTAGTTATGAGTTCTAATATTAAATTGAGCTCATTTTTAATTTAGCAGTTATAATTAATTATGTTATTGGATTGTATCGTCAAATTAGTTTCAAATGGAATTTTTCTCTAAAAAAATTTGGTATCATACCACCATTACAGTTTTTCTAGTTTTTTTAACAAATTTTGGGGATTATTTACAATTTTTATAATTACTTACAATCGATCCTAAAATATTAGGATCGAAGGCAAAGTTATCACAAAATTGTTAACTTAACTCAAAAAAGTTGTAACTCAAACCTTAAGTTATTACATGATACCAAAAAGTTATAATTTTTTTGGTTAATAGTACTTTTAATCTCTAAAATATGTTTGTTTTGTCAGTTTAATCTTCATTATATTAATTTTGCTAATTTGGTCCCAAAATTTTTATTTGTGTCACTTTAGCCCCTAATCAGACCATTTGTTAGGTTTTTTTAACGAAAGTGACTATGTCTTACTCTTTCAAATGATATCATGTTATCAATACTTAATCATTCCATTAAAAACTTAACCACCCAACTACATAGGAAACATTTAAATAAGAATTGAATATTTTAGGGACAATATTAATAAAATTAATACTTTAGGGATTAAACTGACAAAATGTGCATATTTTAATGATCAAAGTATTAACCCTAAATAAATATAAAAGTTATATCAAAACCCACAAAAATTATAAAACTTAGAAGTATAGTAGTGATTTTTTTTTTCTTTTTTTATAGTATGGATTAAAAGATTCGAACTCATAAGAGCATCTTCGACCCTTCATTTTTTTTATACCCAAATTTAAATTTGGATAAAAATAGTCTATAATATTTCTCAAATACTAAACTCATGCTCATACCAAATAAAGAAAAACCCTTTTTTAAATCCAAATCAAGAGAAACCCAAATCAATTCTCAAAATTTTAATGGTGGAATTTCATCATCTTTTAAAGATCCAATAGTCATATTTTACTCTTTTTTAAATTTAAATTTAAATTTATTCTCATTTAAATTTGAGTTTCTCTATTTAAAAGGTTATATGAAATCAATTTTTTTTACCTTTTTTTTAACTTAAATTTGAGTAAAAATTTGGACTTCCATTCAAGATGGTCTAACATTTAAAAAAAAAAAAAAAACCAAACACACACACACACGCAAACACATTAAAGTTTTAATTATCAGACAAATCATTTTGTAGGAGGGGGTATTTAAGTAATTACATGAGACATGAAGTCCGAGCGGATAACAGTCGCTTTGGATAGCCACTCTTAACTTCATCTTGATGCTCCGAAGGTGAATGACAATGGCTTCTTCAGTCACTGCCCCTGTTCATACAAGGTAACGACCCTAAATCTATTATGAATACTCGAAGAATATAGATGTATAGTTACTGAATCTGACCATCTGTTTAGTATTATTGTTCGTCATTTTACTATTATGTGTAATTTCTCTTAAATTGAACTCCATCTTCTCAGAGTAAGAACTTTGTTCCTCGTTTTTAAGTTGGTTTAATTATTTATAGCAGAAGTGGGTTCTTATTCATGTTCCCAATCTGGGTGTGAAAGATATTACTGTATGATTGATGAAAATGGGGGGAACCCTGTAATGGGTATTAGGAAATACATGGCCATTTGGGGACATTACTGTCTTATCAATGTGAATAGTTTATGGGGAAGTTTGAATATGCGAAAGAATGACCAGAACTGAGGAATTCAGGGGTGGCTTGTCATATTTTTCTTAGGTAGTTTAAATTCTCAATTTCTATGATCACTCACATTGGATATGTCATAATTTTTAAGTCCTACTTTGTTTTAAAGTTTTTTTTTTTTTTTGTTAATAAGGATTAGCTGGGGACCTAAATTTGTTTGAAATTGAGGGTTTTGTATTTTGAAATTAGTCTAGCACTACTGGAAGATGGGGAACCAAAGTTGTTTGAAATTGAGGGTTTTATATTTTGAAACTAGTCTAGCACTACTGGAAGCTGAGGAACTAAAGTTGTTCAAAATTGAGGGTTTTGTATAGAAGGGCTTTCCAGTCATTGTTAGTATTTACTCAACTGATGATTTCTAAGATTGAGAAAACTATTTTTCCTTCATGTCAGCAACTTGAGATCTGCCTTTTGGGGTGAGAGAAGTGGAGTACATGTTTCCCATGTTCCTGCCATCCGTGTTGGTTTTGTGAGGAAGACTGTGGAATGTAAGGAATCTAGAATTGGGAAGCAGCCAATTGAAGTGCCATCAAATGTGACAATCACAATGGAAGGTCAAGATTTGAAAGTAAAGGGTCCTCTAGGGGAGCTCGCAATAACTTATCCAAGTGAAGTGAAAGTTGAAAGGGAGGAAGCAGGAATCCTAAGGGTCAAAAAAGCAACAGAAACAAGAAGGGCCAACCAAATGCATGGTTTATTTAGGTACGCTGATACTTCTTTGTGTCTTAATTTTTCCAGAAAATCGTGTTCTCTACTCATCTTCTATTTATATGCTACTCATAACATATATAATCGGATTTTCGTTAACTCTCGCAATTTTGGGTTTGATTTTACATGACCTTTTCATGAAAGATAAAATAAATTCTTTTTTTCATAGTCTTTGTAATTGTAATTGTACTCCCCCTAGTAACCACTCTGACTTCATTGCTGCAATTTGTTGGTAAATATCTATTTGAAAGTGGTAGAGTGATAGTTAAGGGTAACTTCATCAAGTATGTGCTCATTAGGTTACCTATGTCATGCATGGTGCCTCACGTTTTAGGCAGCTGGTCCAAAGTCTACAGAGAAGACGACAGGGGTGGTGAATCGATAAAAGTAGATATTGTCAACATGGACCTTAAGATTATTCCAGTTGGGACGTTTTGGTTAAGGATATGGGTTTGCAAAGAGCCAGTTGCTGGTGAGGGATCCTTATAGAGTTGAGTAGGCAAGTACGTACAATGGTGTGTCGAGACAAGAATTTCTTCTTTGTCAAAAGTTATGCTGGAGACGGCGAAAAGGCTCAAAGCTAACCTCCGTTAAATATGGCCAAAACTCTAGGAGTTATCAAGATTCTCTCCAAATTCAAGATAAACATGTCTTTTGGGTTCTACGTGACTTTGTGAGGAGAATAAGTCTGATCTCTCTCTCTTTCTCTCTCTCTCTCTGTGAGATGGAACAATTTGGAAACAAAATTATATTATGTATCAAGATTCCCTTGTCATTGACTCCCTAGTTAAATTAGTGGGAAATCGATCTTTCCTTTGATGAATGTTCAACTTCAACAATAGGAACTTCTGGGTACTTTTTTGACCACTTCCAATTACAAACCTCATTTCTTTGCTTTCAATTTTTTTGTGATTGTAACAAGATAGAAAGGAAACAAATCCTTAAAATTACAAAGAATTGGTTTAACTGTTGGTAGGGAGCTAGCAGTTACTGAAAGCCTTGAGGTTAACCTGTCTAAATTAATTAATGGAAGATTTTACGCAAAAAATTGGAATGCGAATGCTATAATTTTTACAGTCCTTGAATGTCCCTTACATGCACTTCTCCATTAGTCGATATTTGAAAAATTAGCCGCAAAGATGGGATTACTGACAAACCCTTCACAATAAAGTTTGTTTACTTTCTTTTGTGTTATTCTGTAACTCCATCCAATTTATTTTGCTCAGGACTCTTACAGACAACATGGTGGTGGGTGTATCTAAAGGATTTGAGAAGAGACTTCAATTAATTGGCGTAGGATATCGTGCAATGCTAGAAGGGAAGGACCTGGTATTAATTCTTGGGTTCTCTCATCCAGTTAGGATGGCAATCCCTGATGGCATTCAAGTGAAGGTGGAAGACAACACCAGAATTGTTGTGAGTGGATATGATAAGTCTGCCATTGGTCAATTTGCTGCTTCAGTAAGGAAATGGAGACCACCAGAGCCGTATAAAGGTAAAGGAGTGAAATATGCTGATGAAGTGGTTAGAAGAAAGGAGGGCAAAGCAGGGAAGAAGAAGTAACAGAATTGTTCTTGTGCTTTTTGGATTGTTTACTCCCATTATGGCTGCCAAGTTTCACAGCTGTATGAAGTATACTGACCTGACAGTTGGAAAATTCAATATATAAGTGGTAATTTATCTTTCATTCTTTTGTATTTTCACCTTCAGTTTTGCTTCAAGTGCAGAGAATTAACTAATGAATGATCAGTTATTATGGTTGACATTCATAACGGGATTTTGGCTTGCATAATGTTGAGGAGCATTTATATAAAGGTCTACAAAAAGAAAAACTAAGTTTGACACCAACATTTTAGAGCTTCTTTCATAGACCGCAATGCCATGTTCTTGTGCCTGTAGTAGTCACCATATCCATGGTTTTCTCGTGGCGCTCTGCCCATGCATACCCTCATAATTTTCTTTCGTGTAGCCATTTCCACCCGGGTCATCACAGAACCAATAAGTTCAGGTTTTTTCTGAAAGCCAGAAGGTGCATAGTGCTATTTTCTGAGATTGTCGACAGTTTCTGAACTGTTTACGCTAGTCCCTATGCTTGGCATAGTCTGTAATGAAAATGCTAACCACATTGTGAAGCAGAGAACCCAAAGTTGAAATGTCATATCCTGCGAGTCAGCCTACTAGTTGTTCACTCATGGGATATGATGATGCATACATACACTTTTATTATTTTCAAACATAGGATTGGAAATAAGTCCCAGCATTGGATTCTGGGGTCAATGGTGACTTGTTATAGGATTGTAGTTTTCTCTTTTTAATGATGTCCAATGGCACAGTGCTTTTGTAATGTGATTTTCGCAGTCTTGAGTTAGGATGCCATGAAACTATAAGAAAAACTGAATGCCTTGGTTTGAAAAGCAGGCAAGTAGCCATTGTATATGGTTTTTAAAGACCTCTTACAAGGAATATAAGAAAAGAAAAGGGGGGCTAATATATAATGATCAAAACAAGTCACTTTGAGTTTAAATTTTTGGGTTTCGTTTGAATCCAATTTGTATGTGAGTTCAGATTTTAACAGGTTGAGGGGGTTTTATTCAGAAAGTCTAGAGAAGCTGAGCCTCTTGAGTTGGTTGGTAATAGGACCAGACCAAGCTTTATCAGGATTCCCACAGTTGAAGTCCACAATTTCAACAATCTGGCATCCTTTCTTCTCAGTTTTGCCTCTACTGGGAGTTCTATCTACAGAAACATCCTCTGACTCGAGCATGGGAATGTGATGTGAAGTATGCCAATGGTCACGTATCTTTCTCCGAGTGCTTTCAAATCCTTCTATGATTACCATTGCTCATGCTGTCACTTGTACTTGCACCATTTGATGTTCTTCTTCTTGGTTGTAGTCTTTTTGTCGGCATACCACAAGATACTGAAACTGGGACGGTTTGTGGTTTCTTCCTCGATGATATAGAGGAGTGAGATGTGAGTTTCATGGTGTCTAGCTCCTGCATCATGAGGGCACTGACTTTTCCAGTAGCCCCTACCTTGATGGGACCTTCACCACCCTTAATCTCTTGCAGTGTACGAATCATTTAGATGATTCTTGAAACGAATAAGCTCGTAAGTTTGGGTTTTTCTTCTCTAAATATCACTGTTCAAAGCAGAGATAGAGACAGTTAGGAACAAGAACCACCCAGTGCTTCAAGGAGGAAATCAAAGAGAAGAGAATTAACTTCTAGGTCTTTCTGAAAGCATAAAAGATGGTTTTCGAATAATAATTGAAGAAATAAACAATTTCAAAGGCAAAGAGATTGATTGAAAAAACACAGAATAACCCCTTGTCACCTGGCAGTTCTATATAGCACAATAAGCATTTAAACATCAACGAGAGTGGAAAATTCAATTCCTCACCAACCTAATAGCAGAAGTATATAATCTTTGTTGGTCCAACAAAGCCTGGGTTTTTTAGATTTTCAATACCCTTGTTTGCCGAAGCAACACTTTGTTCCACTGCTTTCATTTATATTTTAAGCGTCATTGCTATCATATATACTAGATAAAATGAGTTCAGATGTCAATTATGCTCAAACAAAAAAAAAAAAAAAAAAGAAGAAGAAGATGATCAAGGCAATAATGCATCAGCAGAACAAAGGATGCCCAACTTCACAAGCTTAACATCATTTACATGGTTATTGTCTATGATCATCAGAAGAGGCAGACGAATCAAACAAGAGTTTAAGCACATCAATCATAAAAAGTTAAAGAACTCAAGTCAACCCAATCACTATTTGCTCAATACAAGAGGAATTATTGCATCAATTTGCTTAGGACAGATGGATATATGTGTGAAGAGTCCTTTCCAGACCAAAAAAAAAGGGACATATAACTGATGATTCACAATCAATTGAATAAGTAACCAGTTTTGGAGAATTAATCATCTATTATGACATAAAGAAGAAAAGGGTACAAGATATTAATCTTGAATCTAAACACCCGNATTATTTGCTCAATAAAAGAGGAATTATTGCATCAATTTGCTTAGGACAGATGGATATATGAGTGAAGAGTCCTTACCAGACCAAAAAAAAAGGGACATATAACTGATGATTCACAATCAATTGCATAAGTAACCAGTTTTGGAGAATTAATCATCTATTATGACATAAAGAAGAAAAGGGTACAAGATGTTAATCTTGAATCTAAACACCCGCAGACAGAAAAAAAGAAGAAGAGAAATTTGGGGGCATACCCTTAATAGTTTACTTAATCTAAAACAAACCCATTAAAGCTTTTATTTTCTTTATAACCAAATACATTATTAAGATCAGAAAAAGAAGAAGAGCATTTAGTAATTGTTTGGTTAGAAAGAGAAATATCTACACTAATACAATAACGTATTGGACTTGAATATGCCGCAGTTTTAGGAATTCTTCAAGCTCTACCAGAAGGAGGAAGAACAATAATGGTTGGGTTGTTGGGGGGGGGNTTGCACATTCTTGTGTGCATTGAACATTAATAGGAATAAGGATATGAATTGAAATTTGTCCCATCCATGCAATAACCAATCAATTTCTGTTTTCCCTTTTTTTTTTGTCGACAAGCAACTTTTTTAAGAAATGATGACATTGAATTCACTATTGCAGAGTAAGTTTAAGACATTCACAACTTGAGAATCACAATTGAGAATCGAACTCAAGAAAATTGAAGTTTGCAGTTCATTTAAAGTTCAATTCTACGTCAAACTACTTATGCGTGTTATTCTTTTGAATGTTACATTATAATATATTCATTTTTAAACCTGATGCACCATCTTCAAAATGGAATTCAAATCTACTGAACGCTCTTCACTTGCTAGAATATTAGCATCGATCGTTGATACTTTTGTATTCTTCATATATAATTTTTTAACCAGAAATTCATTATTGCCTTCAAAATCAATTTACCATCATCGGACCACCCAGATATTAGTTCAATTTTCTAATGTTGACAGTCTAATAGTTCATCCACATTTTTGTTTGTATTTGTCTAATACCAAGAAGTTCGTTTTATTGATATTGACAATCTTATGGTAAGTCATCCACACCTACATTAAAGAATTCATAAGGGTCAAAACCACGAGAATTATCAAGTTTCGAACTTAGAATGTCTGATTTATGATTTTAATGTAATATTTTGCAAGACAGATAAAAATGAGGTGTAAGATAAAAACTAATTTGACAAAACCCAATTTAATGAAAAATAATTTAAATATCATAAATGCCCCGTGACAAGAATTCAAACATAATGCAAGAACTTAACAAGCCCTAGCAATAAGTAACTCCAACGTTATGCTCCCATTTTGCATCATTCCAATTTGACTTTGAGCACCGTAAGAATGTGCATTCCAAAAGTTATTCCAAATTTTGCATTTTAAGTTAGAGAGAATTATATCCAGACCTCTTAAATTTGTCACTTAATCACTCATAATCTCTGACATTTAAAATATTACACACAAGACCCCTGAAGTTATTCGCACGTAACACTTAGATCTCTACCGTCAATGTCCGTTAGTATATTCTTTAGTAAATTATATCTAGACTTCCTGAAATTTGTAGACGTATGATACTTAAATCCTTCAAGTATAAACATTTTATATTTAAGGGGTCTAAGTATTATACGTCTACAAAGTTCAGGGGATTTTGATACAATTTACTAATGGATATACTTATGAACATTGACGACAGAGGTCTAAGTGTTACGCGTGTATAAATTTTAAGTGGTCTGTGTGCAATATTTTAAACATCAAGGGATCTAATTGATTAAGTAAAAAACTTTAGAGAGACTGTGTGTAATTCTCCCTTTAAGTTAATGTAAATAGTAATATGAGTAGAATTTGTTAATTTTTGTAACGAGACCTATGGAACCAACCATCCACATTGGTTTTAGATACAAAATTTCAAAAAACTTTTGCTGCTTGTTTGGAGTAATTTAGAGCCAAGATAATTTTCCATGTTTCTTGAGGCAAATTAATGTGCGAATTCTCTAGTCGAGGAGGGTTGTCATCATAACTGGTACACAAGTCTTTTGTTTACTCAAAATGCATGCAAGGGTAATTGGGTAAAATGGTGGTGTTTATATACAATTCTCTGATCAAAAATAAAATTCTCTTTAACCTCTCCCCCAAATTAAAAAAAACCAAAACAGAAAAAGAAAAAGAAGCTGCTCCCATGTCACAAGTCCATAATAGCAAACTTAAGCCATTCTCCAAAGTGTAATTTAGACTTCGGACTAACTGAAAACTACAAAGAGCTTCTGCACAAATTCTTCCAAGTTCTTTCCGGATCATAATTCAAAGTATCGGTTGATATTGATACAAGTTGGTGGAGTCATATCTGACTCAATACCTTCCAATACGATGATACATATAAACTCCAAGTGTCGCAGGGCTCGACCGAGATCACTGTGAGTCAAATCTGAGTTGTCGAGATATAGTCACTGAATCGGTGGATACAATTTTACAACACAACGATATGACCTGAATCTATCATCATGTTCAACATTTTCTTTTACGTCGTATCGATGTGTCTCAGACCTTTTCGAGTCAATAGCCGATACTGCGACCTTGAACCATAATCTAAACCCTGTATTATATGTTTAGTTCAAAGTTTATTGCGTATCAATACCCTTCGTTGGTTTACATATTTACGCTACAAACAAATTCACAATGAAAGCAATTTGATGAGACATTTTTCGGACACTCCAAGATAACGACACGTGTACTCGGTGTCAAAAAA